GTTGAAGTCTCCCGCTATTATTGTGTGAGAATCTATATTTCTTTGTGCGTCTCTAAAAACTTGCTTTATGAATCTGGGTGCTCCTGTGTTGGGTACATATATATTTAGGATAGTTAGGTCTTTTTGCTGAATTTAACCCTTTACCATTATGTAATCCCCTTCTTTGTCTTTTTTGATCATCATTGTTTTGAAATCTGTTTTGTCTGAAATCAGGATTGCAATCCCTATTTTTTTCTGTTTTCTATCTGCTTGGTAGATTTTCCTCCATCCCTTCATTTTGAGCCTATGAATGTAATTATGTTTGAGATGGGTCTCTTGAAGACAGCATAGCATTTGGTCTTGGTTTTTTATCTAGTTTGCCACTCTGTGCCTCTTAAGTGGGTAATTTAGCCCATTTATGTTCAAAGTCTGTATCGATATGTGTGCATTTGATCCTGTTATTGTGCTGTTTGCTGGTTACTATGTTGGCTTGTTTGTGTGTTGCTTTATAGTAACACTGGTCTATGTGTTTAAGAGTGCCAGCATCATCTTGACACCAAAACCTGGCAGAGACAAAATAAAACAAAAAAAACTTTGGGTCAATACTATTGATGGACACTGATGTAAAAATCCTCAGCAAAATACTGCTGGATTCAGTTTGCAAGCATTTTGAGATGCAAGGTTGGTTCAGCATATACAAATCAATAAATGTGATTCATCACATAAACAGAACTGAAGACAAAAACCACAGGATTATCCCAATAAAGGCAGAAAAGGCTTTCAATAAAATTCCAACATTCCTTCATTAAAGGAGTTAAAAACTCTCAATAAACTAAGTATTGAAGGAACACACCTCAAAATCACAGGAACCATCTATGACAAACCCACGACCAACCTTATCCTGAATTGGTGAAAGCTAAAAACATTCCCCTTGAAAACTGGCGCAAGATAAGGATACCCTTCTATTCAACATAGTATTGGAAGCCCTAGCCAGAGCAAACAGGCAAGAGAAACAAATAAAAGGCATCCAAATAATTTCCTACTGAATAGTCAAACTATCTCTAGTCTCACCCCAAAAGCTCCTTCAGCTGATAAATAACTTCAGCAAAGTTTCAGGATACAAAATCAAAATGTATAAATACATTTTGTATAATATGTAAAATATAATTATATTTGTATACAAATGTATAAAAGTCACTGGCATTCCTGTATACCAACAATAGCCAAATCAGAAAGGAAACCCCATTCACAAGGTCACAAAAAGAATAAAATACCTAGAAATACAGCTAACCAGAAAAGTAAAAGATCTCTGCAATGAGAAGTAGAAAATACTGCTCAAAGAAATCAGAGAAGACACAAACAAGTAGAAAAACACTCCACGCTAATGGAAAAAAAAAAAAAAATCCGTATCATTAAAATGGCTGTACTGCCCAAAGTAATTAACAGATTCAATGATGTTCCTATCAAACTACCAAAGACATTCTTCACAGAACTAGAAGAAACTATTTAAAATTCATATGGAACCAAGAAAGAGCCTGAATCACCAAGGCAATCCTAAGCAAAAAGAACAAAGCTGGAGGTATCATATTACCTGACTTCAAACTATACTACAAGACTAGAGTAACCAAAACGGCATATCAGTATAAAAACAGGCACATAGATCAATGGAACAGAATAGAGAACCCAGAAATAAGGCCACACATTACGACCATCTGATCTTCAACAACGCTAACAAAAATGAACAATGGGGGAAAAACTCCCTATTTAATAAATGGTGCTGGGATAACTGATTAGCCATATGCAGAAAATTGAAGCTGGACCCCTTTTTTATACACTCACAAATATGAACTCAAGAGGAATTAAAGACTTAAATGTAAAACCCAAAACTATAAAAACCCTGGAAGACAACTGAGGCAATACCATTCTGGACATAGAAATGAGCAAAGATTTCATGATGCACACACCAAAAGCAATCACAACAAAAGTAAAAATTGGCAAGTGGAATCTAATTAAACTTGGGTTTCTGCACAGCAAAAGAAACTATCAACAGAGTAAACAGACAACCTAAGGAATGGGAGAAAATATTTACAAACTGCATCTGACAAACGTCTGACATCTGGCATCTGTAAGGAACGTAAATAAATTTGCAAGGGAAAAACAAACAACCCCATTAAAAACTGGGCAAAAGGATATGAACAGACGCTTCTCAAAAGAAAACATAGATGTGGCAAAGAAGCACATGAAAAACAGCTCAATATCACTGATCATTAGAGAAATGCAAATCAAAAACCCAATGAGATGCCATCTCACACCAGTCAAAATGGCTATTATTAAAATGTCAAAAATAACATGCTGGCGAGGTTGAAGAGAAAAAGGAGCACTTACACACTGTTAATGGGAGTGTAAATTAATTCAAACATTGTGGAAAGTGGTGTGGCAATTCTACAAATCTGCTAAAAGCAGAACTACCATTTCACCCACAATACCATTTTGATATGTACCCAGAGGAATATGAATCACCGTATCCCAAAGAAACATGCACCCAAATGTTCATTGCAGTACTATTCACAATAGCAAAGACATGGAATCAACATAAATGCCCATCAATAATGTCAGGCCTCCATGTGCAAGCCCAGACCCAGAAAGTCTAAAGTCCTGCCTGCCTGATCACCACTACCCCAGCCCCACAGCCTGTGTTCACCATTATCCCTGATCGCCCAGCAGAGCTTCTTAGCTTCCTTCCCCGAACATAAGCTTCCCTTCACCCCACCCTGCCATCTTAACTGTTATTATGATAAAATAATGTGAATACTCCCCGCCCCACCCTACCATCTTAACTACTATTATCCCATCCACCATTGTAACTGAACTTATGGTAATGTATACTCCTTGCCCCTACCCCCACCACTGTAACTGATCTTACTCTGTAACTTTCCACTGCCCACCCCAAACCTATAAAACCAACTTCTATTCCACCACCCTTTGATAACGCCCTTTTCAGCCTTAGTTCACCTGCACCCAGGTGAATAAACAGCCATGTTACTCACACAAAGCCTGTTTGGGGGGTCTCTTCATTCAAAGCACGTGTTTTTAACAAATAAAAGACCAGATAAAATGTGGTACATATACACCATGGAATACTATGCAGCCATAAAAAACAACAAGATTATGTCTTTTCCAGGAACATGGATAGAATTGAAGGCTATTATCCTTACCAAACTAATGCAGAAACAGAAAACCAGATACTGCATGTTCTCACTCATAACTGGGAGCTAAAATGATAAGAACTTATGAACACAGAGAAGAAAACAACAGTCACTGGGGTCTACTTGAGCAGTGAGGGTAGAGGAGGGAGAGGAGCAGAAAAAAATAACTATTGGATACTGGGCTTAATATCTGAGTGATGAAACAGTATATACAACAAAGCCCTGTGGCATGTGTTTACCTATGTAACAAACCTTCATGTGTACCCCCAAACCTAAAATAAAAGTTTCAAAAAAAGGAAGTTTATACATAACATGATCAGATTCATATCTTAGAAGGACTGGCATCAAAGTGGAGAATGGATGTCATCATCCAGTGATTTCCCTTAAACCTGGTCCATATTTTTGCCTCCCTTGCCTTACCTTTCTGTGGTTCTGAGGAGTCCAACTCCACACCTCTTCCCCATCAGTGTCCTCAAACAAAACTAGTAATCAGAATCAGTAACCAACTTAACAAAACTATACTCTTATGGGAATCGAGTTTGAGAATCTCTGTTTATATGTCTCCCCAAGTGATTCTGAGGCAGCTGAGCTAAGGACCAGTATTTGGGAAATAATGTAGGTTGTCTTTTGTATCACTAGCTTTCAGATATGTTGATAAGCAGGAGCAGTGTGTTTGGCTTACTCGATTGGACCAAAGAGGACTGGAATTGGTCTCACTCTAAATGTCTTCTTTCCACAGTTATCTTCAACTCTATTCCCAAAGGCAGAAAAATCAGCCCTTCACTCGCACCCTTCAAGAACTTCTACTTGTTCTTTGAATAACACGTCCAAACCTTAACATGACCTATAGTGTGCATGATCTGGCTCCAGTTTCTCTCGAGCCACACTTTACCTTATACATGTTATTAACAATATAAGGCCAGGTCAGGGGAAAGGGGGTGTTGATGCGATTTACTCCCAGTGTCTACTTTCTCAGTTAAATTAAGCATAGATATGGAATTGGGAAATTGTAAAGAGCAATAAAAACCTGAAAAATTTCTAAGGAAAATAGTATGTGATTTAGGATGAGAAAAGGGAATGATGATCAATCTCAATGACCCAATTGAGTTGAAAATCATATACCAGTATCTGCAAGAAAATTATGTCATTTCCTTCATAAGCTCAGAAGCACAGAGCACAGAGAATAACCCACAGCACAACTATGTCAGTCAATCAGCTTATGAATATTGGCAAAGCAGAAAGTCAAGAGTTAAGACAATTAAGGTTACTCGTGTAAAAGAAATAGAAAATTCCCAATATGGGCTTAAAAAGGTTGTGCTACTTTGCTCTAAGAATTACAAAGGCCTAAAACCACGGTTTTGCTGCACTTAGTACCATTGTTTTGTTGCACTTGGTCTGTTTGGTAACGGTTTACCATTTGATTTAGTTCTGGTCCCTGACTTGCTTGATTCTGAGTGGCATGCTACCCTAGAACATGGCAAATAAAATACAGCTGGAAGGTGCCAACAGCAGAGTAGGTGACATAATTTTCCAGCACACTAAATGAAACTACCAAGGGAAAGCTACAACAAGGTATTAAATGTTTTATCATAATTGTTTTCCTCTTAAATTAGAGCTGTCACCTGAAAAATACTATTTTTATGGTGATAGCATATCCATGTAGTTTATCTTCTTAAATTGATTATTTGTATTTCATGGAAGACACTACATATCAACCACAAATATGTGCTTCCATTTGAAATGTTGAAGTGTTTTAAAGACAATAGCAGTTATATTTAGCATTCTGCTAATGAGAATTGAATTACATTTTTAAAATAATTTTAGATTATTTTTAATTAAACCAATGTCATATAAATCCAGCTAGTTCAATTTTCAGGTTCATTATTTCCTTGTCCATTTATTTGCTGCTTCTCTTTCCAATATACATTCACATTAATCAAGACCAGGAGCAGCTGCAATGAAGCAAGCAATGTTGGAAACCAAAGGTTAAAATTAATTTATCAATGATATTTACTTATATGTTAAAGGCTGAAATTTCAGGGCACAACATTTTCTCCTGAAAGAAGACACTTCCCCATCACTGTAATGCAGACTTGTGTTATCAAGTTACATCCATATTACATCATTGGGTAGTAAAACTGACCCAAAATAGAAAGTGAAACAAAATACCTTTTCTGCCAAGAGAAAGGCTAAAGACAAAATTAAATAATGGACTTGTTTTCACAAGATTATTTTGACTAGAGCCTTCCTAATTAGATGGAGATGTTTGTTCAAGAGAAGTAGTAGTACCAAAGAGGAAGGAAGTATAATGTAGTGGACGTGAAGGCGGGGAAAGGAGTCTAGATTTTCTGCCATCCCCCCACCTCCCCTGGAATACTCTATAATACTAATCTTCAGGGAGCAAGACAGTTTGGAACATGTGGAGATTGTTTCTTTTTTGAGTATACAAATGCTTTATTTGAACAACCCCAAAAGCTAAATTATTTGTTTTCCTTGATACACAGAATGCTAATTTCATCTTGTGATGAAAAAAAAACACCATTTTTGCCTAGGATGTTGTGAAAGACAATTTTTACAAATATTGATTCAGGCCAGCTGTCCTTTATGCCTTCTGTCTTCATGCATGCTTGTACAATTTAGATAGATACAAGCAGATTTAAAGCATGTTTCCTGATATTTCACTCCTTTTTCTTTTCAGAAAATCCACCGAGTTTGTGCATATCTCATCAGAGTATGTGCATTATACCATTACTGAAAACATGTACATATTATATCATAAATAATTTCGAGACATACATTGTATCCCTTCTCTTTCCATCCCTATCTGTATTACAAGGGGCACCTGGAAGGAGAGCAACCCCATCCTAAAGCACCACTGCCCAGTCCATCATTCATTCCCACTGCTTTTCAGAAGTGTCTGTTGCTATGCAGTGCAAACATCCACACGGGGATGCACTGCTCTGGGAAGCCTTCCTGCTTCTCCTGGCTCAGCACCACCAGCCCACTCTTCCTTATGAGGCTCCGGAGGATGTCCATGTCCCGAGTCACACTGCTGTCAGAGAGATCGAGGATACAGCCCTCACGGGCTACATTGTCCTTCAGTATGATGACTCCATTTTCTTTCAGGCCATCTCGGCACCGGGAAAGAAATGCAAGAAGGTCCTTATCGGTCAGGTGCCCTATAAGGGGAACCAAGTGGATGGGGGAATAGAATGAAATGGTAGAGAAGATGGAAAGTGAGTAGGGAAGAACATGGCTAAGAATCAGGAGACCATTTGTTCACTCATTCATGAGTTATTTAATAGCCTTGTTTAGTTATAGGAGGCTTTGAAAATTTAGATAAGAGGACACATATCCTCTTAGAGAAGGCCCTGTCCCCTGTCTATAAAATTCATTATCCTATGTAGCCTGTCAATTTCATAGGCTTGAGACAAATTATTGTCTACCCCATGAGTCCCTCCATGTCCCCTGGAGAACCCCTCTATAACCACTTCTTTGTGTGACATACACACATACCCCAAAATCAAATTCATGCTGTCTCATTTCCTGAGGATTTAAAGCTAAGAATGTCAAGTTCTGCCAATAAATGGGGATTAACCTTTTTGACTGCACTTTTAAAATTTTTTCAAGTATTTACATTTCTTCGAGGATTGAGGTTGGTCCAAAGGCACTCGCTCCATTTAGGTTGGTTCGAGAACCAACGTAAATACTGGAAGAAACGTAATTTTCTTGTACAGAGAATGTCAGGGGAGAAATCTGGAGGATCAAAGCTTTGTGGGAGTTCACATGACACCTAAGGCTAGCTAAGTGCTTGTAGTACTACAGCTAACTCTTCCCCGTGCTCTCCTTATCTGGCTGAGAAGGGGAGAAGAACCGAGGCAAAACCATGCAGGACTAACCAGAGACCCACTGAATCCAGATGACATCATATCTCCTGAAGGGGGGTGTGAATTCCTGCAGGCTGTAGCAGTGGTAGCTTTCTACTTTGTCACCTTTGATCTGCAGATAGTTCTGGGCTTCAAGGAGGAAGGATTCCATCATATCCACCAGCTCCACACTGTTGAAAACAGGCAATAAGACGTGTTTGCTGACCCTTCCTATCCCGGAGCCGCAGTCCAAGGCACAGTCTGTTCCGGCTCTCCCAGGCCCCTGCAGAAAGGCACCTAGATACTTCAAGTGCAGAGACCCATCCTTGAAACTTGCACACCCTAGTTACCTCTTTAAATCAACTTTATTAGGTAAATTTTATGCAATAAAATGTACCATTTTTTTGTGTACAATTTGATGATTTTGGACAAATTTATATAGCCAGGCACCCACTACCACAATCAAGATATACATTCAATTATCTTTTCAAAAAATAATTGAAACATTTCTAGTTCTGCTTTCTTTATTTATCCAAATAAAGAATTATAAATAAGATTTTTAAAAAATAATATCTTAGGTTTAAACACTTGGCAATTTTCTCCAAAAAATGAGCCATTGATAGCCCTCTGACGATAAAACCTTAATGACTGTAAATTTGAGACAAATCCACAGCTAAATGGTTCTGCACTATAGATTACTGCCATGTATGCAAAAAAGAACCAAGCAGTAAGAAACTTCCTGAGTTTTAAAATTACTTTAAGGATTCATTCAATGGAAACATTTCAGTTTGGGATAATTGAATTTTATCTTTTCTAAGCTAATTTTGAAGGCTCTGAATTAGCTACTCCTCTTGGGTTGATGGTAAGTTTGGGAACCTGAGCTGACCAATGATAACTGCTCCATTCTCAAGCCAGGATTTTATTTCAAATACAGCCCTGATGGCACACAGCAAGTTCACATGGATAAAGGGTAGTTTCAGCAATGTTTCCTTGTGTCCTTTAATGCTAACCGTTGTTCTCTGGGTTTTTTTGGTACTAGAAACTACATGATTTATTGGGCATGAAACTCTAAAAACGGTTCTTTAAGTAGATCTGTGCATTAATGAACTGGGGGTGAGGGGATTGGAAGGTGGTGGGGGTAAGGAGAAATCGGCCAAAGCAAACTTTCTCAAACTTGCTTCTGTAAAATTTAAAAACCTTTTCTGATTTATGAAGATTCAGCTGGTCTAAATTATTTGGTCATAATTGGGATGGTTGCTGAAAAGATTTTGTACTAGAAATTACAGTAACAAGATTCTTGAAGTTGCCAATCAAGATCTCAAGGGAAAAGCCTACTCTTGATTTCTCAGGAACATAGAATAAAAAAAAAAAAAAAAAAAAATTGGCTAAGGATCAAAGGTGAAGTACAAACAGAGGGAAACGTCAGAAAAGCAGCTTTCCAGTCACCCAAATGGCCTTCGTTATGCTAGAAAAGTACAATGAAGAACAAAAAGTAAAGGAATTGTAGCTTCTTTTCAAATGGAATAATAATAGCCACAATTATTATTTATATATAACAAGCTCTTAGCTATAATAACTATGATAAGAAAACTCGACAATATAGATTACTATCCTCATTTTGGAGATGAGAAAACTCAGATTTCTAATATTACATAGTCAATGGCAGAATTCGAATTTGAATAGGAACTGTCTGAATCCAAAGCCAGTTCTACATTAGGGATGTCATCTCAAGTAATAACTCTGATTCCCTTTGTAGTATCTGTCTAATGCTGTGTTAAAAAGAATTGTAAGACTTCATTTAGACTCAGCAGAAAAGAGATCTATGATTGATTAGTGATGCCTGTCTGGAGCATGAGAAGGACAAGTGGTAGTATATTGCCATGCATTTGCCATTTCTACTTAAACTATGCCGCATGTCACATTCAAATATAATTTAGACTGAACTAATTCAGAAGAAGGCCTAGGCATGAATGCTGTAAAAGAAGCATCTTCTAAGTAAATTTATAATATAAAAAAATCAGCAGTATATGGAGAAATTATTTTAAGTTATTAGCAATGATTTTACTAAAAATGTGTGTGCTTAATGAGAGATTCTCATTTCAAATTTTTCTTACTATTACTTGGCCCTAAAAGCCTCTATTGGTCATGTTGCTCTCGTTAGTATAGAAAGTGGTTTTAAAAGTAGAATCCTGTAATAATAAAGCACCATGAACTTTATTGGACACCATAGCTGCCTGAAACTGTGACTGTATTGAAATCTGATGCCCTTGAATGAATATGACTAGAACTACATACAATGTGTGATTTCAAAACAAGATGGTCTTTGTTTTCTTTTTCTTTTTCTTTTGAGTTGGAGTCTCCCTCTATGTCTCCCAGCTTGGAGCACAGTGGTGCAATCTCAGCACACTGCAACCTCCCCCTCCCAGGTTCAAGTGATCCTCCTTCCTAAGTATCCAGAGTAGCTCAGATTACAGGTACGCACCATCATGCCCTGCTAATTTTTGTATTTTTAATAGAAACGGTGTTTCACCATGTTGGCCAGGCTGGTCTTGAACTCCTGATCCCAGGTGATCCACCCACCTCAGCCTCCCAAAGTGATGGTATTACAGGTGTGAGCCACTGTGCCCAACTCATTTTGTTATTTTCATTTATTATGCCATGTTCATGAGTTCATATAAACTAGTAAAACACTATTAGGAATTTCAGTTTAGTTTGGATTCTGCCTATGTATTTTGTTTTGAAGAACATTATTTTAGGTTTATCCAGTGGAGTTAAAAACTAAAATGAAAGGGACTTGTGTCACTGTATAAAAACTATAAAATATAACAAATTAGTAGACCCAGAATTTTTAGCTATCCAATCTCTGAGAAATGTCAAATAAATACCATCAAATAAATACTGATGACTTTTTATGAATTACTGCTTTCACCCACTAAAAAGCTAAAACAGGAAAGTTATCAAATATAGCATTGACATCATCTTGGTATCATTTGTTTATTTGCTAAAGTGAATACATTTGCAACTAGTTTAAACACCTTTTCCCACTGTCTTGTGTCACTGTGTTGAAAGGAAAGCAAAACTTCAAATTAAACAATCTTTCATTTCACAGTTGACACAGGAATAAGTCATGTCAGATACTCATAGTCCCTAACTCTTTGTATCTTGACCTGAATGCTAATCTAGCAGATTACAGCATGAAGGTCAAGTACCAAAATATTATTCCTTAAAAAGGACTGTGTTTGTACTTAGAAGTCACAGCTTTACAATGAGCCTTGTCTACTAAGAAGGGCTCCTTATATTTGTTTCAAAGGAGCAGGCTGCCTCTTTTCCAACATAAATATGCTAGCGCAAGGCTGTTTCCTTTCCCAGGTCTGTGGGCGTGCTTATGGGCTCTGTCTGACCAGCATCCCTGTGGTCAGCTTGGCATTCCACACAGAGTGACAAGACAGCTGGATTACTAACTAAGCTTCTGAAATACTTTTGGATCAAAGTGGGCCTCACCATGAGGCAAGCAGGAGGGATTGCTTTCAGCCAGACTGGAGGAGAGTTGAGGTCTATGGTCCACCAAATAAATTAAATAAATAAATAAATAAATAAATAAATAAATAAATAAAGCAGGGCTTTCTCAGCTTCAAATGGAAAAAATATGTTGTGATTAAGAGCAGGAAGTTTGGTGTCAGGCAGACCTGGCTGGGCTTAATCCCCCGTTCTGTCTCTTACCAGCTGTGTAATCTTGACAACTTATTTAACCTCTTCAAACCTCAGTTTCCACAACTGTAAAAACAGAGCTAATAATAGCACTTACCTCCAAGAATTGGCATGAATGAGATAATGCTTCTAAAATGCTTAGCAGATTGACTCTCTCAGAACCAGCATTCAGTGAAACCAGTCAGCAGCACTGATTTAAAAATACTCCAAGTTAACCTAACCTGTAAATATGCATGGTCTTCATCCCTAGACTTCCTAGTCTTTTATGGCTAAAGCTGATGTCCAGACACTTTGGCCAATAGATATCTCATCCTGATCACATTTTTTCTACTGTCAGGCTCTGGACAAACACACTGGGTGCTCCAGGAAGATTGGATTTGAAGTGAACTTCACCTCAACACTAGAGATATTGATGTTTTGCTACTAATTCAGGTGATGACCTAAACCCATACCCTAATGTTTGTGTTTCTTTTATCAGCATAAAATGGGCTTCAAATTTCAAACCAATGACTTTGTAATGTATTGGAACAAGACCTGTTACCAACTAGAACTTTGCATCCTTAATATAACTAACAGCAGCTTTATATTGGGGGTTAAGTCTTTTCTAACAACTAAATGCAGTTCCTTAAAATACAATGAATGCATTATATGAAAGCCTGTTATTAGTAGTAATAGCAATAAATTAGATTTATTGAGTACTAATTTTGTGCACTAAAACAGGTGTCTGACATATATTATCTTGTTTGATCTCCACATTATCCTGTGAAGTAGCTTCTATTGTTGTGCCCTTGTCATAAGTGAGAAAACTGACACTTGGTGCATTTAAGTAACAAGCTCAAAGTTGCTTATACATTAAGCAGAAGAATGGAGATGGCCTTAAAGCCCAAAATTTTGACCCCTACAATATACTTTGTCTTCATATGATATGAAAGTAAGGAAGTAGGGGTTGACTCAATGCAAGACTACAAAAGGATAACATTCTTTCAAGGTAAAATCAAAACTATATACAAAATAGTATAAAAAGATTCTACTTTCATTGTTTTTAAACTGAACATACTCATGTATTTGCTTCCTACGTCTCATTTTTATTATAGGAAATCAATAAGTCAATCCAAGATCCCAAAGGGCATGATCTCTCATCAATCATTTGAGTATCAAATGTTTATGAGACTCTAAAAGAGATGTCTTCTTTATTCCCAAATTTTATATCAACACTGCTAATTCACCTTCCTCTGAAGCATGTAAGATTAGTTGGCAATAGGAGGGTGAAATGTCAAGTGGCATAAACCAGTGATATAATATTTATCATATCATAAATAGTTCATCCTTTCTGAACATCTTAAAACTGGATTTCAGGCTGAAATCTTGGCTGAGCCATATGGCTTAGTCGTGACTTAAGTAACAACACAGAGGAATGTGAGCTTAATGTTTGCAAGGACTTTGCCTTCTCATCAAGCTGTAGTTGAATAACTCACCCCAACAAATTTCCTAAGAAATTTCCGAGATGCCTGGATGTCTGGGCTGGATAATTCAATGAAATTTCCCATCATACCCTCTTCTGTGGCTGGTACTTCCTGGTAGAAAAGTTTAGCTCTGGCATAGAACTGCATCTCACCATTGATGACTTGGCTTGTTAAAGCATACAATTTCACTGCAAATGAAACATTATTAATAGTTATTAATATTTTTTTTTTGAGACAGAGTTTCACTCATGTTACCCAGGCTGGAGTGCAATGGCGCCATCTCGGCTCACCGCAACCTCCGCCTCCTGGGTTCAGGCAATTCTCCTGCCTCAGCCCCCTGAGTAGCTGGGATTACAGGCACGCACCACCATGCCCAGCTAATTTTTTTGTATTTTTAGTAGAGGCGGGGTTTCACCATGTTGACCAGGATGTTCTCGATCTCTTGACCTCGTGATCCACCCGCCTCGGCCTCCCAAAGTGCTGGGATTACAGGCTTGAGCCACCGTGCCCGGCCAGTTATTAATATTTATAAGATTAAAAAGCTTAGCCTTATGCATTGCATTTCCTTTTAAAAAGCCTATGAATCTGTGCTGTGGATAAAAGAGCACTGATTTGAAGTCAAAGATTTGGGTTTGAATTTTGGCTCTTTGGCTTACATGCTATGTAATGCTGGGAAAACTTCCTAACTCCTCTGATCTTCAGAGATTACATCTATAAATGACAATCATGTAGCATTTTCATGATTTAATAGCTATAGTTTAATAAACCCATGACTATATCACTGTATTAAATATTTTAACAGTGTTAGCTACAATAAGATAAAGAATGTCGTCAATTTTGTGGTAAGTTTTATCTCTGAGCTCCAAATGTTTTCTGAGAAATTTCTCATTAAGCTTATAATAAAGTTTAATGAAAAAATTACTTCTAATCATAAGGTACGGGTAACTGTTTTTATATCTTTTTCAAGCAACACATATCCAAATATGTCTTCATACCAATATTATGGAAATGTCCTTGAACTCTACATTGTGAAAATAAATTTGTAACAAGAGACATAATATTATTGTGCAGCCACTCTGTACTAGGTAGTATGCCAGGCACATTCACATATAGTTTGTCATTTCATTATTTTCAAAAATGTATGAGAAAAATATGTGTTCCAACTTCTGAAGAATAAATGAGAGTACATGTAAGTGTGTTTTCCAAACCAAAATTCACCCATGCAGATATAAAATATTTTCATCAGAAGACATTCATAATGAAATGATAAGCTGTAGATTAAAGGATGAAACTTCCAGTTCCAGATTGTAGGCTGAGTACATGCATTTGTCTTCTCTCCCTCCCAATATTCCCTGAGAATTCTCTTAAAACACTAAACCCATAATAGTGAAGAAAATGAGAGGGCATTACTGATGGATTCATGATTCCAATAAATTTCTGGAAAACAAAAAGCAGATGGAACAAAGCTAAAGAATTTGCAGACCAAAATAGTCACAAGAGAAAATTACATTCCAGACTTAGAATCAACAGGAAGGCAAGTGTAAGAATGAGAATGAAAGCCAAAAAAAAGCATTAATCAAAACTCTGTCTAGAGAACAACCACGTGAAAAGACAAGTGCACCCTCCTACAGCAGACAGCACAGCTGTAATCCTAGAAAAGGAAAATGTGTTTGTTGTCTTAAAAAATAATAAATAGATAAATCGCCTAGGAAGAGCTGGACCAGTTAGCATTAAAATTTTAGAACGCTACTCATTTTCACGTATAGAAGACTCCAAGTGCTATCACTTACTCCCACTCATCAGAGTCTGGTAAAATCTACCTGCACCTGTAGGGCTTCTTGTCTTTCTCTCTATTTAGGGGACAAGTACAAAACAAAGGAAACCTTATCAATTGCCTAGAATCATTTACCTTGTTTTTTATTCTTAAATGTGGATAAACAATGATCTGCAAACACGTGAGAATAAAGTAGCATCCTGAAAAACAAAGATTCAGATAAATATAATTGAACGCAAAACAAAAATAGTTCCAGAAATAGATGAGAATTTAAGGCAAAATAAAACAAAAAACTCACATTATCTTTGAAGAAATATGAGAACAAGCACATCCATAAATTAAATATAAGATTCTGAGAAGATGGTAATTAAAAGAACAATAAAGAATTCTTAGAAATTGAAGTTTTGATAACCAAAAATTTTTAAATATAAGGTTGAAGAAATTTCCAGAACATAAAACAAAAAGACAGATTTGCAAAACAGAATTAAGAAGACTAGCCTTAGACTTACATAAGCAATTCAGAAAGCCCAACGTCAAGCTAATTAGAATTCTAGTAAACTAATAAAATGAAGGGAAGAAAATCATTAAAGAAAGTAATAGAAGAAAATTCCCTGGAGCTGAAAGCGATTGTAAGATCCAACAAAGTGCTGAGCTGCATAAGCCACATTTAAGCACATCTTTAAGAAATTTCAAAACAGAAAGAGTAATAAGAAGATCTAAAAGTCATTTAGAGGAGAAAGAGTGGTTGACCTTCAAATAGGGTTGTGAGATTTAGGGAAAAAAATAGGACACACAGATTTGAACGTCAGACAAATAATAATTTATTAGTATAAGTATGCCTGAAATAGTACACATTCCAGTGTAAAAACTTACACTAAAAATTATTTGATGATTATGTTAAAATTAAACTTAGCTGGCATCATGTATTTTATTTGGCAACTCTATGTTCATAAGACTAGAATCAGGCTTATATCACAGATCTCATCAGAAACACTGGAAAACAATGACACAGTGCCACCAATATTCAGAGATCAAATTTTTTGAAATGAAAATTAATACCCAGTCAAATTGTCAAAGAATATTTACCTCCTATAGATTCATTCTTCAGAAGATTCTTGAAGCTATATTCCAGCCCAATGAGGCTTACAATCAAAAGAAGATGCACGATGAAAGATGATGTAATTAACCAGGAATCCAAGGAAAAGAAATCCCAAAATGACAGATATGTATCAAATCTGGAAAGAAATCGGTTTATATTACAAGACAAAGCATAGGCTTCAAAAATAATATATTTAAGTAGAATGAGCTAGATCCACGGCAATAGAGTAGGCAAGAAGCAAGGAGATATTATAAATATTCTAAGGAAGACATATTTGTAATCGAAACCACCAAAAATAAAAGATAATTGAAAGCTCCAAGAAAAATATACAGTGGTTAAAAAATGTTATGATCAGGGCATGAAGCAAGCCAAAATATGGCATAAGTTTGAGTAGAAAAAAATCAAAAAGAAAAATACTTATTTCACCTTAAGAACATTTTTCTTCAAATAATCCTAAGACTAAGACATGGGACAGTGTTCAGAATCAAACAATTACGTAGTTCAAAATTTGATTCTAAAAGTTAAACATATAAAAATCACCATTTATATTACTATGACTATGTTCCATCTGTGGAGTTACATGGACATTTTCCAACTTGGAGACACTGGAGCCAATGTTTGTACCCTGAATCACCATGAGTTTGCTGAAAGGGATAACAAGAACAAGAATCAGTTTCCATGTAGTACATCATTTTCCAGAGACCAGCAATATTATTTATATCCTTCATACATATTAAATCTTATACATAGATTTTAAAAATACAAATATTTTTAAAGTTTTAATAAATACATAGAAGCTTTTTTGCCATTTTATACGCAAATTAGCTACTAATTGAGAACATATAACATTAAAAGGATGGTCCTTATGTTCAAAAACATTGAGAACCATGGACTTACACCAATCTCCCTTCCCTAGCACTTGGTAAAGTGTTGTGTACACAGCAAGTGGCTTAATAAGTGTTTATAAATTCAACAGAGATGATAAAAATCAGACATCACCAATAATATGACTGTTCCAAATTCTGGATGTCTCAGAAAATCAGGCTAGGAAATCACAGCTCACAGAGGCTGCCCAGGGTTAGATGCTGCTCTGAGATCATTGGCAAGCCATAGCCCAGGGCTCCCTTGATCCAACCAAAGCAGCAAAGCAGCCACACTCATCATCACCTGCTTAAGTCAACTGGTTGGTGCAGTCTATTAAAACCCTTCATCTAGAAATAGGAATGGCCCATTATGCCAGCAACATTTAGACCACAAGTGAATGCCAATCTCAGCAGGCATCAGACTCAATAGGTGGGCTTTTATGGTTATGGGCTTGAGTTCTCATTTTCACCTAATTGACAGCAGCATTTCACTAAAAAAAGATATATGAGGTGTCATGTTCAGCCCCAGGTTCTCCCCTCCTGATAGCTTCTGCAATTGTGCGTATTGACTCAGATAAGTTAATCAGTCACCAGCACATGGCTTTTTACTATAGAAATATATATACTGGCTAATTAAAAAATTGCAATGTCTCTGTGAAATTTGGGGTAGTTCAAGACAAAAACTAGACACTATTTGTTTTTTATTTAATGTAGTATTTATTGCTTGACCTACATTTTGAGTTCAATTCCCAAGAACCTTCTAACTGGTTACTTGTAGTGAAAAGAAAAATAGAGTACAAGTTCATTTACTCTGAAGGAGAATAAAGATGAAATTTCAGGAAAAGGTTAATATCCAAGAGAGTTTACATTGAAAGACAATTTATTCATAATTCAGTTGTTAAGCCCTAATACAACATTCAGGAAATAAACATAAAGCTCAATCTCTCTCATGGAGATTACAACCTAGCACAGGGGAGTTAAGTCATATGGCTGCATGCTCAAAGAATAATACAAAAAAATGGCTTTGGCATGCAGCAGATGCCTGCAAGTAGCAGCAAGAAGACTCCAAAAGACCTTAACCATGAAGGATACTTTTGATTTGGGTTAGCAAAAACAAAAATCAGCAGGAAAGAAATGTCACAGGGTGTGAATTATCTGGATAAAACTCAGAATTTTCAGATGCCTCCCTTGAGAATATCTTTTGCAGGTAACAAAATAATTTTGTTGCTTAAGGTCTCAACTTCTGACTCTAAGATGAAAAGAAGTAAATTTACTTTGAGGAAATGTGCTATTTGATGACTTTTTCTGTCTTTCGATATAAAAATTTTGAGAAAAACAGAATGCTCACTCAAAATCTTAATCTAGACCTGAAAGGAAATATTGATCCAGTGTCAGAGATAGGGACAACTCAAGGCAATATCATTCAAGTTGGCAATAAAATGAAGACTTTCT